GTGCAAGAGAGAAAGCTTTCTTTCCCTGTAATGGCAAACTTGATAATTATTTTATCTTGAAGGCAAAACCATTCTGCATAGGGACTTCATCTCCTTTCCATCTTCCATCACAATTTTGTTTACTTGCTTTCCTGTTGCTCAGTCCTGCAGCTTTGCTTCAGCATTTCTAACCTGCGCGGCATAGATAAAGGGATTTTTGCAGCAATGGGGGCTGGGAAGCATCAGCAGAAACAAACTTAGTTGGTTCATTAGCATGTGTTAGATGTCTGACTAACCCCAGCTTTGAGAACTTACATATTCAACAGCTGAGTACGTTGAATGAAGATGTTACAGTGAATTAGTTATTCATTTGTTTGCCTGTGGGAAGGCTGGAGGGCAAGGGGAGCTCTTTTATTTATAACCCTTCACATTTTATTGTTTTCATTTTAAATGTCATCTCCCAAATCTCACCTGACCTAATCCAGACCTTAGAGGGGGGAATCAGTCCATTAATTTGCTATCACACACACAATTTATATCAAAAAGGATTATACACACTGCAGTGCATGAAGAATATTGATAACATATTTATTACATGCATGAGTTTCGTCTGTATGAAATGAAAGGAAAATATTAAGAAGTGGAAACTAGAGATTAGAAAAACCAGCTGACAGTTACAGGACAGGAATACATAAAGCGATTTAAAGCATTAATATTCCTGCACTCGTGCCTTGTAGTAGAATTCTTTTCTGGAGGTTTTCCATGTGCAATGTTACATATCTTTTCGGTTCAACTCATATACCAGTTGTGGTATTAAAATTGGTTTCACATTACATAATTTAACCAGTCAGAAATTTAAATTAATCTGGGAAGCCAGCTAAAAGTGGAGGATATTTGGAGCAAAGTGAAGATGTTATTCTGTGGAAGTAACAATTTTGCTACCTGTCATTCATTGAAATGGGGGTGTTGTGGCTTTGTAGCTGGTAAATTATTATGTAGCACTTCATAGCAGAGGGTTCATTGATATTGTTTCTCCCCCACTGCCATTAATGTTTTCCCTGATATTACTAAGTGGTTTTTTTCTCTAGTGCAGTGGTTTTCAACCGGTGGGTCCCCAGGTGTTTTGGCCTACAACTCTCAGGAATCCCAGCCGAGCTAGTTAACCACCTGTTAGGATTTCTGGGAATTAAAGATCAAAACATCTGGGGACTCACAGGTTGAGAACCACTGTTCTAGTGTGATGAAGTAGTTTCCCTACTACATGGAGTAGGGAGGAGCCCTTAATTGCCTCACTAAACTACAAACCCCAGAATTCTGCAGGAGGCAGAAAGTGGATATTAAGTGGGTTTTTCTCTAGTTTGATGAAGTAGTAAAGAGCCAAGGAGACAGCTAGATCCCCAGATCTACCAAGGGACTGTGTAACCAAGCAGTCCGCTTCTGAGTACATTATCTGTGGTTGAAAAGGAGTATTTCATATTCATTTCTCAACTGCACACCAGTAGCCAAAACCATGTTCATAGAATTAGCACTGAAGAGTGGAAGGCTGGATTACTTCTCTTCCTTGGTTTCCCCTTTCTTACCAAGCTGATCCATTTAGATTGTTAATCAGTGGCACTTCACAAACAAACAAAATTCTTGCTATGTAGCCTGACAAGCAAGACAGAAGAAGCAGATGTTCTTAACCTCACATCTACCTTACACTGAGTGATGCTATAGGTTAATTTTCTACTCAATTCCTGGATCGATAGTACAATCCAGCAATTCATTAATAAGCATGCCAAGAAAGCCTGTCAAGCCAAATCTTCAAATAAATGTCATGCTAGATGTAAAATACGTCAGCAGAAATTAAAACTTCATGATTTGAGGTATAATGAACATATCATAAAACTGGCAAAGCTGCTGATGTTTGAAAATTGATCCAAGCGGTTTTTGAACAGAGGGGAGAATGGCCATATCCCAAATTAGTAGGACCTCTCCAAGGTGCAGAAGAAACGATTGAGAGTGAAATCTCACTTATTACAATTTCCCTAGAGTTTTTTTTTTAAGAGACTGAATCTGTCTACCGGAAAATTGCCTCTCTCTCCTTGAATGTCAGGAATTGTGTTCATTTTTGTGGGGTTTTTTTTCATCTTCTTTTTACATATGGAAATGTGCCTCCTTCAGCACCATTGATGCAAGGCGGGACCATCTTTTGGCATCTGTGGCTTGCTCAAGTGTGAAGGTTCATGAATATTCTTTAGTAATAGATGTAGATTTTTAAACTCTTCAGGTTTGAAATGGGTGTCAGCTTTCATTCTTATGGGAAAAGAAATTGTTCAGTGTTCACTCTCCTTATAGCATTCATTTCAGCAAATGGTCCCATTTTGAAGCAAAAACAGAAAGGCTAGTGGTGACTTTGCGTAAGACTGACATTTACACATCTGGTACCATGCAGGAGACCTCTGTTATCTGGGATCACCTTTGACCTCATATTTACATCTGCTTTGTTATAACAATAAAGGCCCTTTCTCAAATAGTTTTATATTCAGAGGCACCTCTGTTGGCTATGTAGTGAAATATAACAAAATCCAAAATATATAGATGCTTTTATTGGACAACCAAATTATACAAAATACATCACACAAATCTCTGAAGCTTCACTGGCTTCTCTTGTATGATTTTTAACATATTTGTCTGATGAAGAAGCCAATGAAGGTGCAAAACTTTACATGATGTAGAATGTGGGCTGTAATTTGTAATTTGTAAAATCCTAATTACAATTTATAACTGAATATATTATCCACAGAATGTGGTCTGGAAGGGCCTTAACAAACATCCTGGTTTTGCTCATTGGGCCATCAAGTACTTGCAAGTGAAATGAATTGATTTGAAATACATATAGAATGCACTTCTGCACTATTTTAAGGCAGGGTACATTGAAATGAGATCACCATATAAAAAAAAATAATAGCAATAGGGCAAGGGATAGAAACACAATGAAATACGACAAAATGTCGTTATAAAATTGAGCAGTTTTCAACTACAAAATAACCTGTCCATAAATTGACTAGGCTTGGTAAATTTCTCAGAAAAGGGACTTCCAGAGATGGGCACTAGAAAAGCAGAAGTTTCCTGCATTATAGAAAGTGGTAGGAACAGAATATCAGAACCAAGACTGTGCGAGAATGGCTACCCTTTCAGTGTGGAAGCAGTTTTAATTTGTCAGGTTATGAGTGTATAATACTTGGGGTACAAATTTCAACAACTTTGAATTTCAAACTATCTTCTATATGTGTCCACATTCATTTGTCAGGAGAAATTGAGAGAGAGTGAAAATTGAACAAATGTGAAACTTGTCTAATAATCAAGCACAAAAGCCTTGTCGCTTGGCAAACGTCTAACATACTTCTTTTGTAAATTAAGGGAATTTCCTAAGTAATATGGGATGTAGTATATGGGTTTACCACTAAAATGGTAAGAGTAGAAAATTCCACTGAGTACAGCCAACCTTTTGAGAGTGCCAGACTTAGCTCTTTGAATTCTAGCCTTTATTTATCTAACAAAGTTATAGGGCATTAAAGCATTGAGTATTACAATATTTTGATATGATTACCATAATATAATCATTAGCTAAGAATAAAGGAAATGTTACATCACATTCTCGCCTGAGATTGTCTAACATACCAGAGTGCACACCAGAGAATACTTTGAATCAAATCTAAATTCTTTAGCCATGCAAATAATCGGAAAAAGTTTGTGCTATGCATTATGCCCAGAACCATTCTGCTTGTTAAGAATGGCAATGTTTTGGAATGGAAACTTCTGCAAATAAAGTGCCCCTTAAAATCTGATGGATGAAGTCATATAATTTACAGACTTGTTAATGATATGTTTCCTAAAAGAGATTGAGATGGTTTTGTTTTAAGCATTCACTACTATTGAAATCCCATCTCTCACAGCAGTATTTATTCTTATTTCTCCTGGAACCAGGGTATTGCCCGACACACACCCTAGCCTTCAGTGGCAAGGGAATGAACATGGGTGGCCAAACATGTAGCTACTAGCTAGTTGTATTTCTGCAGTCAGCCACATAGTGACAAATGCATCATTTTGGTCCACCAGGAGGGATGAAATTGCCCCTCCCCCCACCCATCTGTTAAATTATAGCCTATTGTTGTGTGGCTACCCCCTCTTATCCCCTTCCACTGAATCAGGGGCAGTAACATGAAAGTGCAAAGAAAGGGGAATGGCAATCAGGGCACTTCTAGACAGCCATTTCCTTTGATTCAGGATGTAGCTCAAAGTGACCCGGTTCCCGTTGGACTGCCAGTACAGCTGCAAAGTCCCACAGAGTCCACATATGATCTGGATCTATACAAACTCAGGAGTAGTTTTTTCCCCTTAGCCCCTCTGCAAAATACGCTCCTTGAAAACAGTGTTTGTCTACAGGAGAGCCAAGCAGTAGAGAGCTATTTAGTGTTCCCATGGGGACACTGCCCTTTCCTTGCCAGGGGAGGTGTTTGTGTACTGCCCCACCAAACTGTTTATCCAGGTTCCATCTACAACTCTTGAAGCTTTTAACGTGTCCTGATAAGTGCTCTAAATACGTCTTCCAATTTCCAGCACTGCATTGTTCATTCAGTGATCAACTTCAGTGTATTTTATGGTGTGATCCGGAATGTCCTATGAGTTTTTTTAAATACATAGTTTCTGGCGTGTTGGAGGTCGTACTGGGAATACCCCAACCTCAAGCCATCTTAACTGCATTGAACTGGATTATACAGCAGTCTTGATTCAAATAATTCAGTTCAAAGTAATTAATCTGCATTCTGAAACTGGATTAAATGGCTGCCTTAGTTATATTTGGCACTGCTTTATACTCACTCCTTCTAGACTCATCTGAATCCAACCTTTCATTTCCACTTTCTAACAAGTGTTTTCTGTCTCTAAGGGTACTATTGTCTCCTTAATCTGAATTACTTTCCACGTGTTTTCAGTTGATTTGAAAGTGAATATATTCATACTAGAAGTGTTTGTTGCAGGTCAAATGTGATCAGTATTGGCCAAGCAGAGGAACTGAAACATATGGACTGATCCAGGTGACCTTGCTGGACACAGTAGAATTGGCTACGTACTGTGTCAGAACATTTGCACTTTACAAGGTACATTGTGATTTTGTATTTAATTTCCTAGGAAATGTTCTGTTAGTCTAGGGCAGGAATGTGTTTATGTTCCTGGTTTTCCTTGAATTCAGAAATAACCGTAAGGTCAAGTTACACTGTGCTACCTTCAAGGGACTCTGGGGTTTTTGCCTTATTATGTTGATAACTGCAAATAACCTCTAGGGCACTGTAACATGTTCACCCAGTTCCTCTCTGAAGTTTTCAGGGAAAGAAAATTCACAAAATGCTTTTTAACTTTCAACCAACCTTACATTATGATGCATTTTTTTACCATTCAGGCTTAATCAGAATTTTGTAGTTATTGTTTTAATTGCTTGTCTTTCCTTCCCTGCCCTTGTAAGCTGTTTCCTTTTGTCCTGCCTGCTTTTGAATATTTTCATTTTGATCTCTCTTAACTAAGCCAAGCACAGCAAGTTTCCTGTTGCTAAATGGCTTATCTGCTGTGTGATAACTCTATACAACTTAGTTGCCACCAAAATAAGAAGTGTTTCACTCCTCATGCAACCATCCAACAGCATTGTGCTTTCTTTATTGGGGAAAAAATCCAACAGAGCCAGCTATTTAAAATTGGCCACAGCTGTAGATTATTCATGTTGCATGGTGAGACAAATCTCATAGTGATGTGAAATTATGCTTTTGGTTCAGACTGGAATGCTGCTTTGGCTTGAAATAGTCATTTCAGTGACGGTTTTTGTCTGGCAGAATGGATCAAGTGAAAAGAGAGAAGTAAGGCAGTTCCAGTTCACTGCATGGCCTGATCATGGAGTTCCAGAACATCCTACACCATTCCTAGCTTTCTTACGACGAGTCAAAACCTGTAATCCTCCTGATGCTGGACCAATGGTTGTTCATTGCAGGTAAGCACAAGTTTTGTTGTAAAAGTATTGCCAAGTATCAAGGAACTAATCAGATTCCTTGTTCCAAGGTTTTATATTCTAAATATTGAGTGGAATAATTACATTCACCTTCTTTCTCATTGTTGTACACTTTTGATTACCCAGTTACTCTTTGATTTCAGTCATAGGCCACAGTCCAACAAAATGTCAACCTACCTCCAGAAGCCAAAGGAAGTTTAGAAATTTCTGTATTACTCTTATTTTTTTCATATCAAGTAATTTTGAAACAATTTGAATTCAGAGGCTTATTTGTGTGTGGAGCTAGGCATAAAACTGTGTCACCAGTTTGGCACTAAGTTGCAAGATTTATTTTTTTCTTGAAATGTTCTGGTAGAATAAGGCAAGTCTGAGTGGATGTCACAAGTTGATATCTGTGTGCATTTTTTTTCTAAAGGGATGCATTTTATAGGATTTTTTTCTGTGTGCATTTTGGTTACATTTTTACTACTTACTAAAATAGAGAATCTATTCTGACTAAAATCTTATCAAACAATATGGAAAACGAAACAATGGCCCACAGATTAGAAATGCTCAATATACATTCCAGCTTGCCTGTTCAAACACATCTCCTCCTATGAATCACCTCAGATATTAAGATCATCAGGGGAGGCCCTGCTCTCGGTCCCACCTTCTTCACAGGCGCAACTGGTAGGGATGGGATGCAGAGCCTTTTCAGTGGTGGCCTCTCTGCTGTGGAACTCCCTCCACAGTTATATTAGATCAGCCCCCTCCCTGGCCTTTAGAAAGAGGGGATTGAGGAGGATGGGGTATAAATATGGTAAGTAAATAAATAAATAATGAGAAAGAGAACACCAGGGATTTCAATAACCACAGAAACATTGCATTTATTTCCCATGCAAGCAAAGTGATGTTCAAAGTTCTATGACAAAGACGATCCCTAAATGTAGAGCAAGTAATTCTAGATGTCCTTACCAAAGATGATATATACCAAAGTATTTCAAAAGAAAGTCAGCCTGTGCTTTATAGATGATAGCATCACTTTTGATTGTATAGATCAGGGGTCCTCAAACTAAGGCCCGGGGCCTGGATACGACCCTCCAAGGTCATTTACCTGGCCCTCGCTCAGGGTCAAGATGAGTCTGAAACTACTTGAAACCACACAATTACAACAACAATCCTATCTCATCAGCCAAAAGCAGGCCCACACTTCCCATTAAAATACTAATAAGTTTCTATTTGTTAAAATTGTTCTTCATTTTAATTATTGTATTGATTTCAAGTGTTTTTTGCACTACAAATAAGATATGTGCAGTGTCCATAGGAATTCATTCCTCATTTTCCTTTCAAATTATAATCCGGCCCTCCAACAGTTTGAGGGACTGGGACCTGCTTTGAGGACCCCTGGTATACATTGTTGAAAATTATGAAGTGATCATTTTTTAGAAGTTTGCATTAAGCTGTTTTTCTACACATTTCTGCTGGAAAATACATTGCTAACTGTATAGATTTCCAAGGCAATATGTTATCCATGTTATCCATTCCACTGTCAAACTTGGAAAATGAGAAATCGATACTCTGGAAAAATAAACATAATATTTTTATTTGTCCTCCCTTGCAATAAGGTACAGAATTCCATGCAGAATATCCATAGATACATTCCCTTCTTATTTTTATTCTTGTAATAATCTTCCATTGTGTTTTAGCTATATAGCTTCCTCAACATCTTTGAACTATTTTACAGGTTATAGGGCAGTTCAGTGGCTCCAGACCCTGTCTTCATACCAGCTCAGGGCATGATATAATCAATATAATGATGTGGAGTCCTTATCTTGTTGGTCTGCTTACAGTTCTAGTTATACAGATACAAAATGCAGAAAAATACCGAGCCCATTAATAGTGATCTAGCACCATTGCAGTTTTTGTAAAGCTGTCAACTCTGTTTGCAAAAGCAGAGTTCTCGTTGTCTATGTTTTTATGTCCTTTATTCTGTGTAATTTTATGTATGTACCCTATACTTTTGTTAGGTGGATTATGAAGTAATGATCAAAAGAATTTTTGAAAAACATCCTAGTGAATGGGCAACCMCCATTAGACTCGGCTAGCTTCTTTTCACCCTCCATCTCACTTTATGATAGAAAAAGTGAGTAGCTGCCCTGAGTGTCCCCCCCCCCCGGGTGTTGAAAAGGGCAGGGTAGAAATGCTGTAAATAAATAAATAAATAGAATCATAAGAGTTGGAAGAGACCCCAAGTACCATCCAGTCCAACCTCCTTTTATTAAATTAATTGTTTATTAAAACATTTATGTTGTTCATTCGTTCAGTCGTCTCCGACTCTTCGTGACCTCATGGACCAGCCCACGCCAGAGCTCCCTGTCGGCCGTCACCACCCCCAGCTCCTTCAAGGTCAGTCCAGTCACTTCAAGGATGCCATCCATCCATCTTGCCCTTAGTCGGCCCCTCTTCCTTTTACCTTCCACTTTCCCCAGCATAATTGTCTTCTCTAGGCTTTGCTGTCTCCTCATGATGTGGCCAAAGTACTTCAACTTTGTCTCTAGTATCCTTCCCTCCAATGAGCAGTCGGGCTTTATTTCCTGGAGGATGGACTGGTTGGATCTTCTCGCAGTCCAAGCACTCTCAGCACTTTCCTCCAGCACCACAGCTCAAAAGCATCTATCTTCCTTCGCTCAGCCTTCCCTAAGGTCCAGCTCTCACATCCGTAGGTTACTACAGGGAATACCATGGCTTTGACTAGGCGGATCTTTGTTGCCAGTCTGATGTCTCTACTCTTTACTATTTTATCGAGACTGGACATTGCTCTCCTCCCAAGAAGTAAGCGTCTTCTGATTTCTTGGCCACAGTCTGCATCTGCAGTAATCTTTGCACCTAGAAATACAAAGTCTGTCACGGCCTCCACATTTTCTCCCTCTATTTTCCAGTTGTCAATCATTCTTGTTGCCATAATCTTGGTTTTTTTGACGTTTAGCTGAAACCCAGCTTTTGCGCTTTCTTCTTTCACCTTGATTAGAAGGCTCCTCAGCTCCTCTTCGCTTTCGGCCATCAGAGTGGTGTCATCTGCATATCTGAGGTTGTTAATGTTTCTTCCAGCAATTTTCACCCCAGCTTTTCATTCATCAAGCCCCGCACATCGCATGATGATGTGTTCTGCATACAAGTTAAAAGGTTGGGTGAGAGTATGCAGCCTTGCCGTACGCCTTTCCCATCCTGAACCAGTCTGTTGTTCCGTGGTTCGTATATAAAACATTTATACCCCATTATTATTATTGAGCCCCCGGTGGCGCAGTGGGTTAAACCCCTGTGCCGGCAGGACTGAAGAGTGACAGGTCGCAGGTTCAAATCCGGGGAGAAGCGGATGAGCTCCCTCTATCAGCTCCAGCTCCTCATGCGGGGACATGAGAGAAGCCTCCCACAAGGATGGTAAAACATCAAAAACATCTGGGCATCCCCTGGGCAATGTCCTTGCAGACGGCCAATTCTCTCACACCAGAAGCGACTTGCAGTTTCTCAAGTTGCTCCTGACATGACAAAGAAAATCCTATATCAAGAGCTCTCAGGGCAACTCTATTAATATTTACAGTTCACCTTTCTTCCAGTGGGATTCTCTGTCCTACTTCAGGCCTCCATCTTTTGGGACAAATTATATATTCACTGACTGATGGTACTTTGGAAACTTCATGGCTGAATGAAGATTTAAACCTGTGTATCCCCAGTATTAATGTGCCGCTCTAATCTCTTTGCTACTTTGACTTCAGTTTTCTCTTTCACTACATTGGAGACCCTTTCATTTCTAAGGTATTTCAGTATCAATACTTTTTGCACACGCAATTGCTATTTTGATATCTATAATACTGTAGCACCCCATAATATCAATGCATTGTAATTATTATTATTATTATTATTATTATTATTATTATTATTATTATTATTATTTATACCCCGTCTCCATCTCCCCAAGGGACTTGGAGCAGCTTACATGAGGCCAAGCCCAACAACACATCAGTAACCAAAAAAAGCAATAAACAAAAAATAACAACAATACAATTAAATAAATCACATATAAACATTAACATACAAGATTTAAAACCTATTGTATTATGTGTAAGAAAGGTTTTGAAAGATTGCATGTGTTTTATTATTTTGTTGTTATAGTATAAGCACATGCCACGAGTTACAGTATAATGGTGTGATTTGGGGAGAAGTTGTTGCTATTTCAGTAACTTTAAAAAATGTTGAATGGAGGCATGTGTGTACTGCTATACAGCAGTGTACATGTTTAAATGAAAGAATATGTGGTTTTAAACAGCTGCATAGATGTACAGTGAAAGCTGACCTATCATTGCTCCTCACAAAGAAAAAGCTGATCAATCGCCCCATTATTGAAGGAGAGGAAATGGAATACAACCATGAATTTTTCTTCAGCCCTCCCCTAACAGACACACTAGTTAAAGGTGACTATAGGAGAAAATGTTACAACCAATGTTCTACAATTTCTTAACCACGCTTATCATGGAGATTTATACATGATTAAAACTGAACATCAATAACTAGAGTTGGCAAATCTCAGGACCTGTACCTACATCTCCAATTCTCATGAGTCATCTCCATGTTGGAGAGAAGGGTACAAAATCACCAGTTTGGCGAGCTCAAATCCAGGCCACAATAGAAAGCCCTATTGTAAATATTCTGCTCACCAAGAACAGCAGCATGCAACAATTTTACAGGCCAATGTTGCTGCAACTTGCAAAGACTCTCCAGAGGTTCTCTGTATTTACATAGACTGGATCTACACTATCCCATATCCCAGGATCTGATCCCAGATTATCTGATTTGAACTGGATTATATGAGTCTGCACTGCCAGATAATCTGGGATAAACAGAAAACCTGGGATCAAATCCTGGGATATCCCTATGTGAGTCCCCTTCCACACAGCTGTATAACATTAAACTGGATTAGATGGCAGTATGGACTCAGACAACCCAGT